AGGGGGGGGAAGGGGGGAAACTGGGAGGGCAAAGGAAAGGGGAAGGGGGAAAAGAGGAGAGAAGGGAGGGAGAGCGGGAAAAACAGGGTAAAATGGGAGGAAAAGGGTAAAAAGGGGGTAAAAGGGGAAGGAGAGGGAAAAACAGTGGGGAAAGGGGGTAAAGAAAGGGAAAGTGGGAAAGGGAAAAAACGGGGAGAGAGGGGGAAGGAAAAGGAGGGGAAAGAAGTGAGTTTGCGGGAGAGGCAGGATGGGAGGAAAATTAGCGTATTGAGAGGAAAAAAGGAGGAGAATCTAAGCAGACAAAAGGGGATTTTGGGGGGAAAAGGGAGGTCTGTGGGATTTATGGGGTCTGGGCAGCAGGGCTTGTGGGGGAGTGGGAGTGGGAATCGTGTCCAGTAGGATTTGGAGAGGTCCCTGTGTGCAGGCACTCCCAGGCCTGATGTCCCTGTGCTTTCCCTGTTCCCTCCAGCTCTGCTCCCTGCGCCGGCAGCTCCTGTGGCCGCTGATCCCGCAGCGCGGCTACCGGGGGGATTCCCCCACGGATTCCGGGAAGGACGTGCTGGAGATCCCGCTGCCCCCCTGGCAGGAGCATCCGGATGAGCCCCTGGACACCAAGAGAGCCCGGCTGCTGTACGAGAGCAGGAAAAGGGGGATGCTGGAAAACTGCATCCTGCTCAGGTGGGCTTGGCTCTGAGCATTCCAGTCATTAACAGGGAAGAGTTCATTGAGGTAGGGCAAAAATCCTAGGGATAAGTTGCTCCAAGAACCTGCTGGTCCAGGATCCAGTGGTGGAGTAGAACTGGGAGAGCTCAGAGAGCCAAAATCCTTTGGGAAGGATGTTTGTAAATCGTGGGACATGTGGACACAAGGCCAGTTGGATGTTGAAAGAGAGATTAGAGACATAGAATTGTGGAATTCTGAAATTATTTGGGTGGGGAAGGACCTTAAGGACACCTTTCCCTATCCCAGATTACTCCAAGCCCTATCCAACCTGGCTTGGACACTTCCAGGAATGGAGCAGCCACAGCTTCTCTGGGAAGTCCATTCCAGGGCCTCAGCACCCTCTCAGGAAAGAATCCCTTTCCAATATCTCATATGAACGAGCACATGGAATCCTGGAATGGTTTGGGATGGAAGGGACTAAAGGGTCATCCAATTTCACCCCCTGCCATGGGCAGGGACACCTTCCATCAGACCAGGCTGGGTAAAGGGATTCCAGAGCTTCTCTGGGAATGCTGGGCAGGTGTTTTCCCACCCACAGAGGTGAGGGAGGGCAGGCTGGCGGTCGGTGTTTTCCAGGATCACACTGAGCTGGTTCCTGTATCCCAGCTCTTCCTTCATCTCATCCCAATCCATCCCTCTCCAGCCTCTTTGCCAAGGAGAACCTGGCGCGCATGAGCGAGGAACAGCTGAACCGCTACGACCGCCTCATCAACGAGCCCAGCAACGACTGGGACATTTATTACTGGGCCACTGGTACGTGTGCCCACGCCCTGGGACACCGGGGTGGCACCTGGGCACAGCACAGAGCTGATTTTTCCTGTTTTCCCCTCAGAAGCGAAGCCCACGCCAGCGGAGTTCGACACGGATGTGATGGCCATGCTGAGGGAGTTTGCCAAAAACAGGAACAGGGAGCAGAGGCTCCGGCAGCCGGACCTGGAATATCTGTTTGAGGCACCACGCTGAGGGAGGGGATGCCTCTGTCCCCATTCCCTGGACTAGCACGGGGACATGGGGCTCTGGACTGGCATTTCCACCTTCCCTATGGTTTTCCTCCTCTTCCAGCAGCCTTTGGACACTCATGCAATGCTGAATAAAGCCCTGACTACCGGCCTTGCCTGGCTGCTGGCCCTGCCCCTCTCCTGCTTTGTGACATCGGGGTCGTGCCCTCGGTGACATTCCCAGCTCGATCTGGCCCTTGCCACCTCACTGATGTTCCCAATTCCCACCTGCCCCTTTTCCCAGGACCCCCAGGAGGTGACCCCACCCCGGGGCGGGGGCTGTCGTGGAGCTGGAGCGGGACATTCCCAGTTGGTGCCCTCCAGCGACAAGCAGAGAGGTTGTCCCACCTCCTGCCCTGCGGTGACAGCCTCGGGGAGGTCCCCGTTGTCGCGGTTACCAGGAGATAGAGTCGCGTTCCCCGGGCACATTCCGCAGCTTCCGTGCCTGCCGGGAAGGGCCCGCAGCTCCAGTGCAGCTCCAGCCATGGCGTAGGGCCGTGCCTCGGGCCATTCCCGGCGCCAGGGGCCCATTCCCAGAGGCAGGATGCCGTCCCAGCCGCAGGACTCGCCCGCCGCGGGATTGGGGACGGGCTTCCCCATGGTGAAGGGCTCCCCCTCCGAGCTCATGGGCTTCTACGTCACCAGCTACGAGGCGGCCTTTGGCAAGAGGCCCAGGGGGTCACCCCCAAAGGTGCAGGAGGGGCGAGTTTTGGCCATTGAGCTCCCCAGTGACAGGAGCATCCACCCCCTCCTCGGCGTCCACACCGGCTCGGGATATGTCGTCAACAACTACTCAGAGCTCAGGTCCCTGCTCTGCCCGCACATGGAGCGGTAGGTCCCTGCTGCAGGAGTTTGGGGGGCGCCTTTTGGGATCACCCCATCACAGCCATTCCCACCCCAGCCAGGACACCGACATTTCCACCACCGCCGAGGACTTCAAGGTGTTCGGGCGTCCAGAGTACCAAAGGATGCTGCCCGAGCACGTGGATGATCCGCAGTGTCAGTATCCCGCTGGCATCTCCTTCTCCCGCCTCCGCTTCAGGGAGGTGAGAGCCCCAAATACATCTGGGGAATACGGCATCCAGAGGTACTGCGCCACTCCTGCCCAGCCAGGTATGATTCTGGGGTCTTGGGAGAGCTCCAGCCTCAGTGGGAGGGTTTTGGGGTGTTGAAATCCCAGTGAAAGCTCTATTCCCAGGAGATTCTGGGGTCTTGGTGATCCCAGGGAAAGCTCTGTCCTTAGGAGGATTTGGGGGTGGTAGGATTCCTAGGAAACCTCCAACCACAGGAGGGTTTGCGGCCCTAGGGGTTCCAGGTCCAGCTCCAACATCAGGAAGGTTTTGGGATTATTGATGGTCCCAGAGACACATCCAACTCCAGGGATTTTGGGATGTCAGTGTTCCTGGAGCCAGGTCAGACCTCAGGAGGTTTTGGGAGTGTTGGAGACCCCCTGTCCCTCTCAGACACAGTGGGACAGGTGGATCCAGGTAATGCCAGGCCTGGGGACACAGGGGACATCCCTGCTCCATCTGCTCCCCACAGATGTCCCTCCAAGGGCGATGGAGCTGTCGGGCGGCACCGAGACCACCCCGAGGAGTGACCTCACCGAGCCAGAGCAGCCTGTGAGCCCTGTCCCCATTGTGTCCCCTGTCCCCCCCACCCCTCAGCACCCCAGGGAACACTTTTCCTATCCCACAGCTTGGTGTCGGTGATGGTCGGATGGATTCCTTTCCTGCCACGTGCAGCACTGTAAGCAAAGGGACGGGGTGGCAGGGGCAGGGGACATCCTGTCCCAGTGCTCCCAGTGGGCTCTGAGGCAGCGGGAGCTGCCTGGGCATGGCAATGAGCAGGATCCCATCCCTGTGTCCCCACACAGTACCAGCCTGCCATGGGCTACCCGGCCCCCTTCGCCCCCCCGGAGCTCCAGGTGGGACCCAAGGGAGTCACAGCCGAGAAGGTGGGTGCAGCCATGTCCCCTGTCCCATCCCTTTTCCCAAGGAACCACGCTCCCAACTCACTGCATCCCTCAGAAGCCGCTGGGGTATGGCAGTATCCAGAACCAGTACCTGATCGAGCACTCACAGATGGCCCCTGTAGCACCAGGTGAGTTTGGGGGGGATCACAGCCCCCAGGAGGAGCAGACACCCCTCTCACCAATCCCCCCTGGATTTTCCAGGCTGGTGGGCCCAGACCCCAATCACCTGGGCCCCGAGATCTGTGGAGGGCGTCCAGATCCCGAGTCCCAGTGGCTTCAGCACCAACAACCGCCCCACCAGCCTGTGGCGCATCGATGACCCCCTGACGTGATGCCCCCCCCAAAAGTGCTGCTGCATCCTGGGAATCCCATCCTCGGCCTTTCCCAAATCCCTGTAGGAGGAATAAAGACCCTGCACGATGCCTTTGGATTGCTCCCTCATTTTGGGGGTTTCCTGCATCCCAAAAAGCTGGCAGGAGTGGTTTGGTTGGTCAGGGGGTGTCACCTGGCCCGCTGCCGCTGGAGGGCTGTACGAGCCCGGCTTTCCAGCTTTCCGAGCCGCCTTTGGGATGACACAGCTGATTTGCGGCAGGAAAATCCGGGCAGGGCTGTGGTGGGAAGCAGGAGGATGAGGAGGAGGAAGGACCCCGAGGGGCGGGCAGCCATGGCACGGGGAAGGGGCTCTTGGAGAGGCTTCATCCATATCTTCCCTGATCATGGGAAACGGGATCTGTGCCCCGGGGAGTGGCTACCGGCAGGGTCCCAGGGGATGTGCGGGATCACAGAGGGACTCCCCACCAGTTTAAGGACCCCCACCTAATCAAGGCATCCACACACAGCTCAGGGAGCCCCTCCCGCCAGTTCAGGAATTCCCACCCAGCCCAAGGACCGCACACTCAATTTAGGGCCTCACGCCGAATTCAGGGTGAGGACGCTGATGCCAGGCTGCTGGAAGCGGGGCTGGGACTGCTGGGGTGCGAGGGGGTCCTGCCTGGTTTGGGGACAGAGCCGGGACAAGTAGGGCGGGAATGGGGCCGTGGGAACGGCGGGGCGGGGCGTGAATGAAATTACGGGCGTGGCCTAAATGGGCGCGAACGGCGGGGCGGGGCATGACTGGGACGGGGGCGTGGCCTCTTCCCCGGTGGCGCGGGCTCCCATTGGCCGCGGCGCGTTGCCATGGCCACGGCGTCGCCCTCCCCTCTCCCCGCCGGGTCCGGTGCAGGTCCCGGTGCCGGTCCCGGTGAGCGATGGGCAGCGGCGGCTCTTCGGGGCGCGGGGTCCCGGTGGCGGCCGCCGAGGGCCCCGACGGCGTCGAGCAGCGGCTGGAGGTGCGGCGCCGGCAGATCCCGGCCGAGTTGTGGGCTCAGCAGGGGCTGCGGAAGCTCTACCTGAGCGACGCGGGGCTGCGGGAGGTGCCGGACGAGCTGGCGGAGCTGCAGCACCTGCGGACCCTCGCCCTGGACGGCAACGAGCTGATGGAGGTGCCCGAGGCCGTGTGCGACCTGCCCCACCTGGCCTACCTGTACCTGGGCCGCAACGGGCTGCAGGAGCTGCCGCCCGCCTTCGCCCAGCTCCAGAGCCTGCGCTGCCTCTGGATCGAGGGGAACTTCTTGGCGCACTTCCCCCGCGCCCTCCTGCAGCTGCCGGAGCTGCGCAGCCTCCAACTGGGGGACAACCGGCTGTGCCGGCTGCCCGCGGCGCTGCCCCGCATGGCCAGCCTGCGGGGGCTCTGGCTCTACGGGAACCGCTTCCAGGAGTTCCCGCCCGTGCTGCTGCGCATGGATCACATCCGCGTCCTCGACCTGGACCGCAACCGCATCGCCAGCTTCCCGGACCTCAGCGGCCTCGCCTCCCTGCGCCTCCTGTCCTACGACCACAACCCCGTCCGGCAGCCGCCCTGCGTGGGGGATGAAGTGCAGCTGGTGGGGGACGGGGCGCAGGAATACATGGAAGCGCGGCAGGAGCGGCTGCAGAGCCTGCAGCAGCAACAGGAGGAGGAGGAGGAGGGCACCGAGGCCGCCCCGGTATCCCCCGAGGATGGGCCTGAGGATGGGGAGGGGGAATTTGCAGCCCTGACGGGATCTCCTGAGGAAACGTGAGCCGCTGTCCCCCTGAAGGGGTGCAGAGCCTCCACCTGCCTCCCAGGGAATTCCCATCTAGGGCTGGGAAAGGAGGAAGTTCACAGCCTCCACATAGATAAACCAGCGGTCTGAGGATCACCCTTATCCAGCTGGGACAGCAGCCTTGTGTCCTGGATTGGCAGGGCTCATGGATCCCAATGGTTATACCACCTACTCCAGGGTGCCTTGGGTTGGGATACAGCCCCCCTCCCAGGGGGGTGATCCCACACTGCCACCCGACGAGAACGGGGACATTTCCACTCCTCCACCTCTGAAAATCCTTTACTCCTGTCCCAAATGGGCAGCACAGGAAAAAGCAATGCTGGTTGCATCCATTCCGTGGATCCCATCATCCTGGAGAGCTCTGAGGTTTGGGAACAAAGGCACAGACCCTGAGAACCCCATCCTGCTGCTGGAATTGGGCTGGGGGAGAGAATTTTCCACCAGGCTCCTCTTGGCCATCAGATTTGGGAAAGAGCCCATGGAAATTCCTCCTGGGTTGAAGCACTGCTTGTCTCCAACCTGGACAGGGTTTTGCCTCTGTGGGAAGAGGAGGCTCATGCCTGGCACTGTCTGTCCCAAAACGGGCACCAGATCCAGGGCTGACACCTTATCCTTCCTCTTCCTCTCTCAAGTGCCTCTTGGACCGAATACAGGCAATAAAAAGCACAAATCCAAGGAATTTGTTGTGAGAGAAAAGTGGTGGGGACCAGCCTCAGGGAAGGGTTAATTTGGGATCCCGTCAAACCAAGTGACATATCCTGGTGTGCAACCACCAGCTCCTCTTATTCTGGACATCTGAGGAATCCTGATTCCCTCCATCCCTCTCCAAGCTGAGCCAGTGTGGTGGAAAGCCTGGGGATCCGAGGTCTGCAGCTTGCTGGAGGTTTCAAACCACACATCCGCTTTTAATGGCCGTGGATTTGGGGCTGGGGCTGGGAGGCAGCCAGAGCTCCTGCCACATCCGCTCCGGCACTGGCAGGGCGGGTGCTGCCGGCGTTTCCCTCCACTTCCCATCCCACAGCAGGAACCACTACAGGCTGTTTTGGACACGTGGAACTTCCTCAGCTGCGGGATGTGCAGGAGCTGTCGGTGCCAGCTCCTCCGGGGTAATTTCAGGGGCTTAACAGGAGCTTTGAATCAGGTCTTCCCAACAGGTGCAGTCTGTCAATCCCTTTTCCCACCCAGGTACCCATCACTGTAGGGCAGAGCATCCCAGGATCCCACAACATCCCAGGAACACACTCCTGGAATTCTGGGTGTCTCCCAGCCCTTCATGCCATCGATCCACAGTGATGCTGCTTTGTCTGGGGAGGCACTGCTGATAATTAGCAAGGAATTATCCATGATCCCAAGGGTGCTGACCCTGCCAGAGACCCTCAGCATTCCAAGCCCCTGATGCAGGCAAGATCTGATGCCGGCAGCTCCATGCAGATCCCTGCCAGCCCACCCATTCGGCAGGAATTGGGATGCAGGTGGCTCTGGATGCCACCAGCCTGTCCCCATGGCTGGGATCAGATCCAGGAGCTCTGACACCTGGCATAGGGGGGTCCTCCCTGTCTGCAGCCTTTTCTCACCACCCAGCCTTTCCCAAGGAGCCGGGTCGGGATCCAGGCACCGGTGACGACGGTGATGACACCGGGGCCAGGAGCTGCCGCAGCCGGTGGGGATCTGACAGATTCCGGATCCGCTCGAGTATTTTGGGGCCGCTGGCACCGGCGAGTCCCCGCTGCTGGCAGTGCATCATCCATACGTCTGTCCCTATATATATCCCTGCCTCCTCGCCCGGCCCCGCGTGCGACGGTTTGTGGCCTCTCCGCAGCTGGGATCACGCTGCTATTTCCATCTGCTCCCGCTGCCTGCCAGCACCAGGCACCGGGATCGGGAATCGCTGCTGATCTGTGCAACAGGAGCGCCCGGATCGCAGCGCTTCCAAAGGTTTGGGAGGATAAAAGGAGCCCGGCGTTGGTGTAAGAGCCCAGGCAGAGCCAGGATCGGTGGCACCAATGCCATTGGCAGTTTGGGAATGCCAAAATTCCCAGATTTGGCTCAGCTGGTGGGGAGGCAGCAGCCACCTCCCCTCCACAGGGGTGCAGGTGGCAAGGGGACAGCGTTGTCCCCTGCTGCCACCTCCAACATTGTATCCCAGGGCCTGAAGGGTGGATCCAGAGGGATCTTTTCCTCTACAGGGAGGACATGGATGGCCCTCCTGCTATCCCTGCGTTTGGAGTTTCATTTATTTATTTAAGACCAGCATTCTATGAATTATTTAACAGCCACCACTGCCTTTTCCATGGCACCAGGACACAGGATATGGTTCCCTGCCTCTTCCTTCTCTTCAGAGCCACATTCCAGTCCCTATCCTATGCCAAGGAGTTCAGCCCAGACCTAGATGGGATGGGAACTCACTTGGCTCCAAGCAAGCTTCGGGGGTCAGTGTTGTTTCTGAAGCCCCCATGGGGATCCCAATCCTAGCAGGATCGCAGAATTTTGAGGGGATACTTGGTGATGGGTGGGATAATACTGTGGGAATGCTCAGGGCAGGGAGGGATAATGCTGGGGGGGGATGCTCAGTGCCCCCAACTCAGCTGTGGTGCTCACCCGTGTGTGGTGCCCCCATTCCCACCCCAGGATCCACCCCCTGCATTCCTCCCATCCCACAGATGACTCACGCTGGCAGTTACTGACTGTCCTTTATTACTGAGAGCAGGGGCTGCCTCCAGAAAACGAGGGGCCCCACTCCCCAAAAATAGGATTCTTCAAAGGAGGCGCCCCGACCCGTGCGCCCCATCCTTGGCATCGCCAGCCGGGCACCCCCCGCTCCAGCCGCTCCTCAGCCAGGCCGGGCCGGGCCGGGCTCTTTATTGGATTTTTTATCTTTTTTTTTTCATTTTTTTAATCTTTTTTTTTTGTTTTTTGTCCTGTTTTTCTTTATTTTACACACCAGTTGGATGTTACCGTCACATGAAGAAGAGAGAACCTGAACAAGATCACGGCTACGAGCTCTAGAGTTAAAAATGAACACACAAACCCCCGGGGAGCCCGACCGCGGACGAGGAATCCAGCCTGGAAAAGCGGGGTGCCCGAGGGGCCGTGGGGGGCACCCGGCTTGGCACAGCCCCGGCCCTGCCACCTCTTCCCCAGGCATGTAAGTCTCTTCTTTTATGTTAAAAAAAGAGAGAATATGACAAAAATACAAATGTCCCTAAAAGCGTTGTTATTACTGTAATAGCAGTATTATGACTTCTCTCCAGATTGTCCAAAATCGTCTAAATTGGGGCTGTGGGAGCTGCTGGGAGCCAAGGTTGCCACGGGGGGAGCAGGAAGACTGAGGATGATCTGGTGTCTGCCACGGAGAGCCACCACCGACCCCCTTGTCACCGCTGTGGGGCTCCCAGGTGGGTCTGTCCCTGTTTTTGGGGGTCCCAGGGAGAGGAGTGGGAAGGGGTCTGGCGTGTGCATCCCAGGGCTCCGCGGGGATGCTGCTGCTGGCACTGATCCTGCCAGGCTGGCTGTCCCAAGGAATGCCACCAGCCCGGGGAATGTCACCTGCCCTCGATAGGGACAACAGCGCTCGCTCCACCCTTTATCCCCAGGGGTGGGCACGGAGCTCCCGGGGCAGCCCCGGCGCCCGGATCAGCCCGGCTGGAAGGGGACCCTGTGGAGCTCTGCATTCCCCCGAGGGGCCCCTTCCAGCCCGGGCTGGGCGGGAGGGCAGGACCAGGGGGTCCCCAGGGCGGCTTGGGGACCCGCCGCTCCCGCCGAAACCCGAGACGGAGGTAAAGCATCGAACCCGGCTGAAGGCAGTGCACGAAGGAGCCCGCTTTGGATAAGGAACTGTGTCATGGCTTCCGATCCCAGGAAAAGGGGCTGTCCCCTCCCCTCGGTGTGGGGGCGCGGGGGGACGAGCTGGGGCAGGGGGGCTCCGTGGCTCCGCTGGCGGCTCCGAGAGGTGTCATGGAGCTGAAAGGGGAGGGAGGAGGGTCCCTCTTGCACCCGCAGCCTGACCCCCTGAAATGGGGCGGGGGGCGAGGCCGGGGAGGGGCCGAGGGGCTCCGGGAGCGGGGCTGGAAGCACTCGCAGAAGTCCTGCCCGGTGGTGGGAATAGGGATGGGGGGACATCGCTTCTGGCACCTCCTGGGCCGGGGCTGGGGGCGGCTCCGCAGCCCCGCGCCCCAGGGAGAGGCGAACCCGGGGCTCGGGGGGCTCCGTCCCCGTCCTCCCGCGGGGTTCCCGCCAGCCAGGCCGCTGTCCCGCCGGTCCCTGGCCGGGAGCGCCGCGGGAAGGGGCCGGGGGCTGGCAAGGGGGACCCCGAGCCCCCGGAGCGGGGGCGCTCAGGCCTTCAGCTGGTGCCACTGTGCCACCGCCTGCCGCGGGCGGGCGATCATGTCCTTCCAGTGCTTCACCTCGCCGGGACCGCTCTTCCAGGACAGGTAAATCTGCGGGAAACGCATCCCTGGAGCCACCGCGGCCTCTCCATCCCCACCCATCCCGCGGCCCGGCGCTGACGCCTTCACCCCCAAACTGCTCCAGCCCCGCTTTTCCGGGCTCGGCACGGGGCCGCGCTATTTTTATCCCTCAGTTTTCCATATGGCACCGCGGAAAAGCGCGTGTGCCAGCTCTCGCTGCTGCTGCTGCTGCTGCCACCTCGGGGAGCCGGTGCCACCGCTCAGCGGATCAGCGCGGAGAGCCGGGATGGAGCCGAGCTCGCTGCTAATTACGCGATCAAAAGTGATTAGCGAGCCTCAGGCCACGGCGGGGTTTTAACGGAGACTGGGATATCGTGGCCACTGCCTGTCCATCCCTAGAATCAGGCTCTTGGATGTGCCCACACTGAGGACACCACCTCCCCTCCTGCTCGGCAGCCCGCAGCGCTGATCCAGGGATTTATTTAATGGATTTATCCCCACTGCTGAGTTGTCCCGACCCCAGTGCGGCGTTTGGGGATCACGGATGGGGATTATGGCTCTCGTTTGTCATCGTTGTGCTAACGATGAGCTGGGTGATTTCATGGATAATTCCACCGCTCCCATCCCCGGGAGTAATCCCAGGGGGTGGGATCCAGCCCCGTGCTCCATCCCTCCATCCCTGCCTTTCTGGGAGAGCTCCAGCCGTCTGTGGCTGTGACACCCAGCACGAGGGGTTCACACCACGCTCCACACTGGAGGTGGCACCAGGCGCTGGCAGCCCCGGGCCTGGCTGTCCCCAATTCCCACCTGGGTGTCCCTCGGGCGTGTCACCCACCTTGCCGATGACGTCATTGCGGCTCAGCCTGTCCTTGTCCATGACGGTGATGACGATGGTGGTCTCGCGCAGCCGCTCCGTGGGGATGTCGAAGGCGAAGGACTCGTTGAAGACGGGGTTCAGGCACCTCTTCATCACCACCGTCTTCTTCTTCTCCACCCGCTTGTCCTTGTACATCAGCCACACCTTCACGTAGGGATCTGGCGGGAGAGGAGCCGCTCTCAGCCCCCGATGGGAGCCAAGGAATGCTGCCCGGGATCGGGGCCAGCCTGTGCCGTACCTGAGGTGCCCCCGATGTCCATGGCTTTGAGGTTCCTTGCCTTGATGATGTTCACCACGATGGAATTGGCTGAGGGATTGTAGCACAGTGACAGCAGCAGCTCCCCACGGCTTCCCTGCAGGACACACGTGTTCCCTGAGGACACCCACGCCCCCCAGAGCTCCTCTGTGGGAGCTGGGTGCTGCCATGGGACTCCCACGAGAACAACCCAAGGCTGGGGTTTGGGAAGGCACAGAAAATCAGGGCAGGACAGGAGGAAATGGGGCCGCCCCCAGTGGGACATTTTCTGGTCTTGCTGGAGGCAGGAGAAGGGAAAAACTTTCATTTTAGGTCTACCTGAAACAGTTTGATTTGACCCAAAATGAGACTTTGGGCTACTTAATATAAAATTTGGGAAGAGAAAAATCTCCATCAGATGTTGAAGGAGAAAATATCCCTGTTGGGATGGGGGATGTTCCTCCTGGGACACTGCAGGGGCAGGGAGTCACCTCCCCTCCCCAGGGGGATGAGGGGGTCCAGGGCCTTACACTGCCATCACTGCAGGGCTTCAGGTCCTTCCAGAAGGTCTGCATCTGGGTCAGGTCCACCTTGTTGAGCGGGATGGACACCTCTCCAATGGGATCATTGCGGCTGAAGCGGTCGTAGTCCAGGACCTGGAGGTACAGCACCCGCTGCACCACCTTCTCGTAGGGGAACCCTGTGGCACAGGAAAAGCCAAAGGAGATGAGGAGCAGTTCCAGCCCGGCTCCACCCTTCCTGTGCTGGTGGCAAGACCTTGGCACCAGGCAGAGGCTGGGGAGCAGCCCATGGCACAAGGAGCTGCTGCCACATTAATTCCCACATCTGCACCCACCCATGGGGGCACAGAGCCTTCCAAACCTTCCCCTACATCCCCTTTATGGGATGCACATCCAGCCTGGCCTCAGTGGCTTGGCCAACCCATCGCATCCCCCCTAGCCACCACTCCGGTGGCTCGAGCTGAGCTGAACCACAGGAGGCTCCGCTCCCACCCTGATCCCCTCCAGCCCATCCCAATCCATACCTTCGAAGAGGAAGGTCTCGTTCCAGTGCGGGTTGAGGTTCTTCCTCTTGACCTTGGTCTCCAACTTGTGCTTCTTGTCGGGGAGCAGGTAGATCTTGACGAAGGGGTCGCTGGTGCCGCTGAAGTCCTTGGCCGGCAGCTCCTGTGCCTTCATGATCTTCACGGTCAGGGTGGACTCCTGGAAGTTGTAGCCGACGCTGAACTGGATGCGGCCCAGGTTCTCCCGGCTGACGCCCTCGTGGCCCTCGTCATCCTCGGA